GCGGCGTCGGTGGAGAGATTGAGAGAAGATTTGATTTAGGGTATGGGAGTTAGGGTAGGGTTAAATAAATGAATTTATTGTAAATAGATTTTTAAATGAAAATAATTTTTTTTTTAATTCCTTTAAAACCTGATTAGTGAAATATCAAACTTAAATCAGGAATTATGAAAATGGATATCTAATAACAGGTGTGGGTGTAATTTCCTCAATTGTAAATATGCAATAGTTGATTCGGACCAAAAGATGAGTTGGAAGATTTTTAGGAGACAATTGGATGGAATTTGAATTAAAAAAGGAATGGAATATGATCAAAATATTATCACAATCAATGTCCAATCGCACAAGTTATATTCCAAATTTTTAGTTGAATATTGAAACCCATTTTTGGTATAGTAAATGTCCGAATTGGGAAAATTATACCTTATCAAAGTTGTAGCCCTTCGAGTTATCTTTTCAACGCACTTTGAATCGCTTCAATCGGATATCGGAAGAGAAATTTATGACCAAAATACTGACTGCTGTGCAAAAACAAAAAATCTGCGCACGAAGGCGACTTTCCTTATTCAATTGGAACTCTTTTGGAAGTCAATTTGGACATGATTTTTTACCAATTTTCGACTCCTACAAATACCTAACAGTAGAACACATATGGGGGGACCTCTCATATACATATTATACTCCAATACTCATAAATTATTATCATCAAAGTAGGAGAATTCATTGTTTTTGTGGGAGAATTGAAGAAAATTTGCAAGAATTCAATTAAGTAAAGATTCAAACTTGATTTTTGGGTAAAGAAGAGAATGCGCAAGTGGAGATTCATCAATAGACTATTGAAGAGATTCAAGATTTCAAAATTCATCTTCATCTCCTCAATTAATCAAAATCCGGGTTATATCTTTGCTCACGACTCATTGATTTTCTTAAGAGCAAAGTCGTCAGATTGTCAAGCATTCCTTGATATTTTGTCCGCCTACAAAGTAGAATCATGTAAAAAAATTAATGTGGAGAAATCAACAATTACGTTTAGCCCAAATGTGGGATTGTATGAGCGTGAATATGTCCTAAGTCTATTGGGAATGCAGACGACTGAAAGTTCGAATTTTCTTCCTTCGTACATAAAAGAACTGTACAATTTCTACCAATTATCTTGGTGTGTTTCTTTTAATTTTTTCTTTATTTTTACTGTCATTTTCTTATTATTTAAGTAGTCTGTCTTGTTGTTCGTAGTGTCTGTAGATCAAAATCGACTTGGGTTCGTCTTCGTTTGTGTGGATCTAAGGTGTTAGAATTTGGGCGTGACACGAATTTCTTGTTGAAATAATTAAAGAATTCTAGTTGAAGTATATGTCAAGAGGAACTCAGTTTGGAATGTTATTGGAGTCTTATTTAAATTGAAATTTATTTGGAAGTCATATTGGGAGTTAGAATTTGTATTGGACTCGAAGATTTTCGCTATGGCAGGTTAAGATGCGTGCAGTACTCGCACATCAGGATTTAGATGATGCATTGTTGGGAATTGACAAGATACCCACAACGTTGACCGCAGAAGAGAAATTATGAAAGGATAAGAATGCAGTTTCTCACATTCATCTTCATCTATCGAATATCATTCTTCAGGAAGTTTTGAAGGAGGGTTCAACAGTTGCTTTATGGTTGAAATTGGAGCAATTGTGCATGATTAAAAGTCTGACAAGTAAGTTGCATCTCAAGCATCGTTTATACTCTCATCGTATGATAGAATAATGATCATTGGAAGATCATCTGTTTAAGGAGATAGTCGCTGATTTGGAAACTTTGGAAGTAAAATATGATGAAGAAGATTTGACCAATCTCGAAACACCGAACAAGTACGTATCTTTAAAAGAAATTAAAAGGTCCGAATAACACTAGAAAAAATCAAACTACATTGCCGGTCAGGACATTACATTGGGAACTTACTGCATCTTCAGGTTGAAGTATCCGCTCCTTCACTGTGCACCCAAGCAGGGGCGGATTTGGCAGTGGGTTGCACTTAGCTATAATCCATTGTTGCCCAAGCTCAGATACGCTAAAAATGATAAAATTAGTTGAAAAATAGGCATGATTTTCAAATGTCAACTAATCAAGAAACCAGTGTTTTAGATTTAAAAAATCTCTCCCATTAATTTAACAATAAATGGACCTGCTTGTAATATGTTAACATACCATACCATTCAAAGTCTCCTAGTTAAAAATTGGAAATATATAACCATATAACTGACCGGACCATTACATTCAATATCGCATAATCTTAAAAATCCATCATCCTCAATTCCTCACATTTAAACTCACAGCGATACCATGTCACCTACTGCAGTTTCAATTCCTTATTCTCAAATCACTTTATCAATATGACATACTTATTCACACACGACTGATAATCCTTAATCAGTCCCCTACATACATTGATGGAACCAAACTGAAATGAACTATATTTGGTCAAAATTTAGTAGATTTCGATAAAAATTGATGAAATATGTCGTTAAAATTAATTGTTAACTTTGACTAGGATAAGGTAATGTCTATTTCGTGTTGACGTGATGGTGTTGGTGGTGGATAAGGAGTGTTGCCGTTGGTGGTGATTGTTGATTGGAGCAACCGATGTGGTGGCGGCCGATGATGCTTCAAATGGAAATGAAGAGCACACGTTTTGTTGTTACTAGTTGTCAGCAAGATCGAAGAGGTGGTCTTGTTGATTTCGTCGGCGAGAGATAGTGATCGAACTAGTGAGAAATGCGTATGGAGGTGCCGCGTGGGAACATTGGTGGCTTGGTTTAGGGTTTAAAGAGGTGGGTCGGATTGTTAGGTTTGGGCTGTTTTGAGGATGTGGTGGTGGATCTGGCAGTGGTAGATTTGTGGTTGAAGATGGTGGTTTGTTGGTTGTGACCTAAAAATTTGAGTCGCAATCTAATAAATTGGTTAATTTGTGACCAATAAATAATATGCGATTAATAAATAATATGTGATCGATAACTTGTAACCAACAAATAACATGAAATCTAAAAATTTGAATTGTGACTTGTAAAATTTGTGATTTGTAATCGGTAAATAAATTGTGACCCACAATTTTTTAAATTTGTGACCGATGAATAAATTGTGATCTATAAAATTTTTTATTTGTAATCGTGAAATAATTTGTGACTTATAAAATTTTTAATTTGTGACTGAGAAATAATTTGTGATCAATTAATTTTATAATTTTGACAAAAAAAAAAAAAAAAAGAATTGCGATCTTACTATATTTAATTAATAAAATATTAATTAATTATTTTATAAATATAATTTATTTAATATTTAATTATTGAAATTTTATGCCTTGTTCCTTAATTTTGAAATAGACATAATTAATGTGGAAATTTTCCGTATTATAAATTGAGCAATGCTATTCATCTCCACTGAGAATGAAAATACAGTCTACATGACGTTAATATGACAATAAATGATTTAATTTCACATTTAATTTAACCTATCTATTAAAATAATGTAGACCGTGTTTTCTTGCCAATAACATTACTCTTAGGCCGTGTTTGATAGGCCGTGTTTTCCGGGGAAGTAGGAAAATATTTTCCACTTTCCACTTTTTTGGCTATTTGATAGACGAAATTTTCCATGGAAAATATTTTCCGGATTTTCCTCACACGTGTGCATTTTCCCGGTTTTTGATGAAAATGTTTTCCCGTCTTTTTGGTGGAAAAATATTTTCCCGGCTGGGTAGATTTTTTTTTTTTTTTTGGCAATGGAAACAAATGTCATAACCAATGTTAAAAAAAAATTTCACTTTAATGGACAATTTTCATGTAAAATAAAGTCAAACGAACACTAAACTTTGATTAAAAAAATAATTTTTTAGAAAACAATTTTTTTTCCTTTTTGGCAATAAAAACAAATTATACCAATAAAACACATTTGAAAATTATACCAATCAAACACACTTGAAATTATTTTCCCTACAAAATATTTTCTAGACAAATGTTTTCCCCATAAAACATTTTCTTTCCACCCATTTTCCACCCTTGCAATTCAATCGAACGCACCCAATTGCACCCATATAAATTTGGTACTTCAAACCCACCAAATTCGTGTAAAAGATGAAATTTGGCAGCAAAAATCCCTGTTCCTCTTTCTCAAATTTTGTGTTATACAATTTCAATCGCATCCTTTCTAATTTTCCCCATGTTTAATTAGATCTGCTCTCAGACTTCTCCACTCCAATTCATTAATTATACAATACCTATCAATTTTTGTAACTAAAATCATAAAACCCTCAATTTACAAGTGTAATCCAAAGTTTATGTAAAACTATAATAGAGTGAAAAAACTGAGGGTTTCTTTGGTGGGTTTGCTATGGCTGATGCGTTGTCTGTGATTCCAACAGCGGTTCTTCGTAACCTCTCCGATAAGCTCTATGAAAAGCGGAAAAATGCGGCTCTTGAGGTCTTGATTATACATATATGTATTTGTATGGTATTTTTGTTTTATCGGTTCTTGGAATAATTTTCTGATTTTTTGTGTAATTGTTGGGTTTCCTGTGTTGGTGAGTTCTAGGTGGAAGGGATAGTGAAGCAATTAGCGTTGGCAGGAGATCATGATAAAATCACTGCGGTGATCAATTTGTTGACCAATGAGTTTACCTATTCGGCGCAGGCAAATCATCGCAAAGTAAGTTATGTTGGTTTTCTTAACTGACATTGAAATGAGGCTTATTCATTAAACTTTTTAGTTGATGTGCGGAATTTTAATTTGGTTTTGTTTTATGTATATACTATTTTGCATTTAGGGAGGGTTGATAGGATTGGCTGCAGCAACAGTAGGTTTGACGTCGGAAGCTGCACAGCACCTTGAGGTAACAATACCAAAATGTATGAAGTAAAGGATGAAGAATTTGAACCTTTTCTCCATATGCGAATTTTTCCTTTCCTTTTCTGATAAGAGTGCATTTACAGATTTATTTTATTTTTTGCTTCAACCATGAGGTTATGATAAATATTGCAATTATATTTCTCTGTACGTGTATAAATGCTTTAAGTTCAACAAAAGAAGAATGACACAATGGAATATGTTAGATGACTGCAAACCATGGTTCAGCCGAGTTTAGTTCCATCAATTTACAAGAGGGGACTGATCAAGGATTATCAGTTGCATGCGAATAATTATGTCATATTGGTTAAGTGTAGAAATTGCGTATGCGACATTTTAACCCTCAGGAGTGTAAATATACCATAATATGTTAGCTGAAGAACCCATAGGTCATTGGTGCTTCTCTAATATTTTGTATTAGTCTTACCGTTTTTAGCTTGATCAAAATCTATTCTCTGACAGTACTATTGATTAGTTCAAATAACCCAAAGAAGATAGAGTTAAGTACAATTGCCTTTGTGTTCTGTACTCCATATAGGGAAAGCGCAGTTGTTGCTAGGTTTTAATCATTTACATGGACCTGCTTTTCGTTTCCTTTCGTGGGTATATAATGATCTATAAACTGCCCCTAAAATTATCAGTTCATTTAATGTTTGAGCATGACGCTGCCATCAATTTTCCGGCCTCATACATGAAATGGGAAACTACAGTGTTTTTCTGCACCACGGGGGGGTGAACTAAATTCTGATTTTGCATCTAATTAACGTAGTCACTGATATTTATTTGTTTGTTGGTGTGTTGTTCGGATTAATAATTATGTTGCCTCTAATTGGGACAAATTGACTAGACTATCAGCTCTTCATAAATCTTGTCATTGGTCTTTAATAAGGTAATATAGGATGTTTATGTAAATAATGATTCTCTCAAGTTCTGAACGTAATTTTAAGCACATGCAGGGGAATTAAAGACTTTGAAGTGGCAAAAACATTTGAGAGTATGGTTGCTGGGCTTAAAAAATGATAAGCTTCTTTTAAATAAAAATGGTAAAGTTATGGAATTGATTTCATGTTTGATAATCTGTGCTAATAACTATATTAAGCACATTTATGTTGGGTAATCTAGTTACTTTTATGCTTACTCAGTGTGACAAATAAAAGAATCCCTTTATGTCTGGGAATTAATTACTTTTAAGGGTAAAATGATCTTTTCCTTGGTCAAAGCAAAAAATAAACACTTACCCAATCAGAAACGTATCAATCTGAGGTGCTTATTTTCCGTCATTTGCTAAAAAAATGATCTTGTTTTTTTTAGCTTAATCATGTTTGGGAATGAAGGGAAGCATGCTTGATGAGCTTATAAGTCCACCCATAGCCCTATCAATGGTGACGGGTGATAAAGCATCAGCCGTTTGTGGATTCAAAGCATGGGTTCTTGTTTAAAAATGTCTTTTTTTACGTGTTCTCAGGTTTGTATATTACTTGTGCATGCACCTTTAATCTAAGAAAAAAAGGAAAAAGAAAAAGAAAAAGAACAAATGAAAGAGAAAAGCTGAGAGTTCTGAGACCAAATCAGACCTATAGTCAACAAAAAAATCCTCGGGAAAAAGAGAAGGAGATACGAATCAGAAGTAAGAAAAAAATGGAAAAAGAGAAAAGGTACTTCCACATCGTTGCTGCTGTTGCTTCATTATTATTGCTTCTGTGGTGAGGTCGTTGTTTGCTGCTGCTGCCACCACCACCTAGTCGATGGAGATGACTGCTATTTTGATTTTTTTTTAATTCTTTGTTGGTTTGCGTTGTGTTTTGCCCATATTTAATTCTTTTACAGATGGGTGTTATTTGTTTAATTATGGTGTTGTTTGACAAAGCATTTGACAAAAGTTATAGTAGATTTTGATAAAATTTGATTAACTGTGCGGTAGAATAGTTGATAAAAGTTATGGATATCATGAATGTGTATGAAATTGAAGTTTGACCAGTTGATGAATTTTTAGCCAAGCTTTATCAAACAAGCACTAAATTTAGCAAGTGTTGTGTTTCTTTCAGAACTGATATTTCGTACTTAATAAATTTTTGACTTCAAACTCCGCTTTACCTTTTGCATTGGAAAAATTGATTTTAAGTTTAGTTGAGCTCATCTCACAAAAAAGATCAACAAGTCACTTATTAAATGAGGAGCGCACGTGAGGCGTAGACAGTGATTAATGGTACTAGATAGCCATATTTTAACTTTGTAGAGTTTAAATGATACAGTAACATGTTTCAAACCATGGTCTATTTATTGTTAAGTTAGTGGAAGTGATTCTTTAAATTTAAAACAGTGGTTTCTTGATTAGGAAACTTTTGAAAATCATTCCTATCTTCATAGTTCAAGATATCCCATCCTAATGTTTTAACCTATGATAAATGAGGGATCCATGCTGTCCGTTGCTATATTGAAAATTTGAAAAATAGAGGTTGCAGAGCAACCTTTAAATCAATATTAGAGATATTCAAATCATGACCTTCACCTTTCATATTGGGTAAAAACACAACATTTCTATAGTTGTGACTGCCTGTGTGAGAGGGATAGCTATTAGATGCTATAATTGAGTGGAAAAAAAATTGATTCCAAATCTCAGTATTTATCATATAAGTTTGAAGGACAACAGAGTTAAATTGTTTTTGGGCCAGTTTATGGAAGAAGAATGTCTCCACTGAAGCACTTGAAGCTGTATGTATTATATGCTATTAGTTCACGACATAGTGTGCTACAAGGGATGTGTTCCACCTGAGAGAAGAGAACTATAATATCCAAGGCGATATCAATGTCAACTTTCTGGACCTGGAATAGCATTTTAAACTGCAACCATTTTGGTCACTGAAAATAACATTAGTTTTTTAATGTCATCCAGCAGGGTTTACTGACAACCTTATGCTCCAAAAATTATAAGGGGTTATTGCTGCTGGAAGAGTTTTGGGAATCAAGCATTCAATAGATACCTTAGAGCTTTCCTGAGGAACATTATCACTTCTGCTCCAAGTCTCGTGGAGAATATTTAGTTTTTTTTTTTTTTTATCTTAATGTCATTATATTTATTAGTTTATTGAGGAGCCTCATTAACTATCCCCTCTTTAGACTTCAGTTTACATATATCTCAGTCTGTAGATGCCCAGAGATGTTGCATAAAGGCACCAGCTGACCTTTTGATGCTTGTATGTTTATTAGTCTATATAGGAGTCAGTTTGCCTCTCTTTATGTCATATAGATTGTAGTCTGTGTTTGCCCAGAGATGCTGCATGGTGGCACTGGTGGCCTTTAAGAAATCTTTAAATTCAGACTCGAGATATAATAATATCCTTCCGAAGCATTCAGATTTTGTAGTTAGAAACTGTTACAGCAATATTATGCAGCTTTTCTAATGTAAAAGCATTCCTTAATTAGAAAGAGGAAAATAGATTTACGATAGGGCTTTTAAAAATTAAAAAAAGATCGTAATGAGGTTATCACTTGTTTCTCATGTGGGAAAAAAGTTATAGCAAACGACACTGCTGCTTGCTGCAACAATTCAACATTGTAATTGGAGAATTGGACCTTTTTTAATGGATAAGAAAATTGCTCCGTCACACTGTTTGGTGTTTATGTTAAATGCTTTTTTACTTGATGGATGAAGAAACTCAAGACAGGCGATTGATTTCTATATTCTTTGTCATCCTTGACGTGTCTTACTATTTTGGTTGCTTACTAATTATTTCGTTTTATCCGTTTGCTTTGGGTTGCTTCTGAAAGTTTGTCTCTTTTATTAATACATTTTACTGCTCCTTCGGAATCCCTCAGCAAATTGTACCACCAGTCTTATTTTCCTTTTCTGATCAAGATAGCAGAGTTCGTTATTATGCATGTGAAGCACTGTATAACATAGCAAAGGTGAGAAATTGAACGGTTGTCTTGGCATTTGCGTTTTTGTCCTCTGTGTTTGGATTTCATCCCTGCTAATTTGCAGGTTGTGAGAGGAGATTTTATTGTGTTCTTCAATCAGATTTTTGAAGCTTTGTGTAAGCTTTCTGCTGATTCAGAATCCAATGTACAAAGTGCTGCTCATCTTTTAGATAGACTTGTAAAGGTATATGATTTTCATTTTCTATCTAGCCATGCCAGTTTCATTTTTTGTCTATTGTTTGTTTTGCTTTAACGATAATTTTGATTATTAACCTGGTGCATTGAGTTGTTTTAATGCAGGATATTGTTACAGAGAGTGATCAATTCAGGTATGCTATCTATTTGTTCTGGCTGCGATTTTGGAACTGAGTTGTTAAATTTATTTGAAGAATTTAACAAATTGTTGGTGTTAACTCTTGCCATTGTGTCCTGACACAGTATTGAAGAATTTATACCACTGTTAAGAGAACGAATGAATGTCCTAAACCCTTATGTGCGCCAATTTCTGGTAGGATGGATTACTGTTCTAGACAGTGTTCCGGATATAGATATGCTTGGTTTTCTTCCTGATTTTCTTGATGGTAAGTTGTTCTCATTCGAGGTTTTTTAGGCTCTAGCTGTGTTTTCTCTGATGCATGTTCTCACTGATTGGTGAAATTGCAGGCTTATTTAACATGCTAAGTGATTCCAGCCATGAAATAAGACAACAAGCTGATTCAGCACTTTCAGAATTTCTTCAAGAAATAAAAAATTCTCCAGTAAGATTCGTACTAGCATGGAATGTGTTTAAATATTTAATTGTTGTATGCATATAACTGTAGCATAGTTAGGTTTTTTTTCTTACTTCCATGATGACGTGTTTTTGAAATCAATCATGTTATTGCCACGGATGTTCGGAAACACTGCTATTGTGGGACTTTTGGGAGGGTGGATTAAGTGATCCTTTTGAAGATGCCTGTGGGTTTGGATACATTGGAGGACTTAATTGTTTATGTCAATGGCTGAATATCACATACTTTTCACTTTTCAGCTATGATTTGCAACCATAATATGTTGCAAATACTTGCGGATTATGTTTTCTCTGGGAAAAATTTCAGCAGGCATTATCAGTCATTCTTGAAAATTTCATAATAGAAACGTCCCATTTCTTTGAACTAGCGGATTTTACTGTTCATTTTAATATCTTACCCAATAAGTGGTTCTCTTGAAGTCTGTAGATTATGGTCGCATGGCTGAAATACTGGTACAGAGGGCAGCTTCAAAGGATGAATTTACTAGGTTGACGGCTATTACTTGGGTAAGGACATTTAAGGTCATGATTGCCAAGGACAAGTATTTGTCCAATTTCTGAGTGGTTTTTTGGGGTACTATATGTAATAAAACGTTCAAATTTGTTTGAATAAAGTTTAATTACTATTTTGTCTGCAGATCAATGAGTTTGTGAAACTTGGCGGGGATCAACTATTCCCTTATTATGCTGATATTCTTGGAGCCATTCTACCCTGCATATCAGACAAGGAAGAGAAAATAAGAGTTGTATGTTTTGATTTATTAATATTTTCAATTCTTCCTTCAATGACTAATCCGATTGCTTCCTTAACTTTTTATCATTTTCACATCTATAATATGTTAAACTTAGTTACCTTTTAGAGCTCCTTCCCCCAGCTTTGTTTACCTTCTCTTCCTTTGATAAGCAATCTTTTTTCCCCTTCATTGATTGCATATCTTCCTTTACTACTGCCTCTTGTTGGTTGCGGTGTAAATATGCTTGTCTTAACTTTTCCATCAACTATCAGATTGCTCGTGAAACGAATGAAGAACTTCATGGAATTGAGGCTGATCCAGATGAAGGATTTGATGTAGGAGCAATCCTCTCAGTAGCAAGGAGGTATTTTTCTCTTATCCTAGAAAAAGCTAGGTATAATGGTTGGTTTCAGTTTAAGTTTGATTGATGATTAATTGTGTTTCACAGAAGGTGATGGCGGAAGTGGGCTGATATAGTTTTCCATTTTATTAAAGTCCTATGTTTGCAATTGAATATTTGAATACTGGAAAATTTTTAGTTCTCTCTTGTGCAACAGGCATCTATCTAGTGAATGGGAGGCAACACGTATTGAAGCATTGAACTGGATATCAACCCTTTTAAATAGGCATCGATTGGAGGTAATGAGGATGTATCAAATTTTTCGCTTTTTTGACTTGTTCATACGGGTCATATGCTATTGTAGGACATTTTGTTTTGGAAAGTGAAAGCAAATTACTAGATATTTGACTTGTATACCAATTTTGTAGTATTGTTCTTCTTGCACTATGACGTCTTGGTAAGTGTATTGGTAGGTAATGTGTATTATAAGCATTAAGAATTTCTGGTTGAAAAGGCCTAGTAGGAAATGTAGCTTCGCAAGTAAGGAATAGAAAAGACTTATAATTGCTTTAGTACTACTATTAAATTCCTGAACAAACTTAAATATGACCTTTAAGCTGTGTGACTCTTTTACAAGCAATCATTCAAGATATAACCTTGGCTTCTTCAGATTGTACTTTATTCACAAATTTCAAAAGAATTACCAATTTTGAATTCAAATTTTTTTTTGATGGTTATTATATTTTCAGTCTTTGTACACTGTCACTGTGCTAGTTAACCAAAGTTATGGTGCAAGTTGGCTGTGTTGCAAAGCACCTTCCTAATCCTCTCAGTATCCCATATGTGGTGCATCCCATAGTTTTCCAAAATTTAATGGTTGTGCTGTGCCTTGGGTTTCTCTGTGCTTGACATGTACTGATTTGTTTTAAAAGCGAGATTAAATTAGGTTTTCTGGAAGCAAATTCACATTTTAGCTTGTGAAGGAGATACTCAAGTGACACTAGTGGGTAGTGGAGGGATCAATTCATGCTTGAGTTAGAATGATAGATATGCTAACTGGTTATCTTATGCTTCAAGTGCTTGATCTTTTACTATACCGCATTTTGATGGTTCCTTTCATCAATATCCTCCAAGATAGATGCACAAGGATGTAGGGCTTTGTACTGACGTGGAGTGCTCTGTGTATAGTTCTTGAGGAAGTTCATCTCTTGTTTTGTCAATAAAATGTAATTGTGGTTGTCTGGGATTGTCTAGGCTTGCAGTTGATTGCTATTTCACGGACTTGTAGAGTTTATTTTTATACATAAAAGTATCAGGAACTCAATAGTCATGTGCCGGAAGTCAAGCATCTAATGATACTACAGAATTCAAATAAGGAGTGAAGATTAATCTAAAGTACTACAGAGTTTTGAGAAATGTTTGATGGGACTTTGCTAGGCAAAGTATGTCTCGAGGCTTAAGCCTGAGTAAATTAATAAAAAAAATAAAAAGGATTATAGAAATACATTGTATGTTTCATAGTTAACCAGGTAGCTCCGGGAAACGTTTACAAACTCGTAATGAAGGATGTGCAACGTTTCCTAGGAGACCCCTCCTTTTCAAGAGGATTTATGATATGTCATGCCCCATTTAGGTTCTTTGCTTTGCATCGAATTAAATCATGGAAACATAAAGTGGATCAACAAATTTAAAAATAATAGATTAATGAAGTAGTAATTTCATGATCATTTATCCACAACTAGAACTAATAGTTAAAAACACATGAAATAATTGCTTAGTATTTGCTAAAACTTTGCTTGGTTTGAATGTTAAAGGAAAGAGAGAGAAAAAAAAAAGAAAAAGAAAAAACACAGTTAAAACAGGATAATACAAAAGGAGAAGAAGAGTGAATATTCCTGCAAGTCTATCTCTGGCTGTCTTCTGCCAAAAGTTGCAATGTGATATGGGGGACACACCCTTTGTAGGAGTAGAGGGCTAGGCCTAGCACGTAGGCTTTTTACTTCTCTTCTCTAGTGCCTGTTTGAGCCCCCTTTTTGCCCAAAATTCATTTTGGAATAATATTTTGTTGGAGAATGTGTGGTTAAAAAATAAGAAAAAGTTATGAGTTTGCGTGTTATATTATTTTATTGAAGAATGTGTGGTTGAAAATAAGATAGTAAAAAATGTATTTTGGAAATAATAGGTACTATACAAGGACATAATCTCCTTTTTTTTTTGCTTTGTTTTTTTTTGTTTTTTTTTTTTTTCTGTGGTTGCCATTGGGTTTTATGGCAACTGAAAAAACCACCCTTAGAATGTTTTTGGGCTACAAAGAAAAACACCCTAAAAGCAGAGATTGGTATTAAGAAATGGCAAGACTAAGGATTGCACACATCAGCTTCCCTAAGGGCGTCACTAAGTCAAGGACTCATGGTGTATGCTGTGACAAATGGCATTGGCACGTAAAGCTTAAGCTTTGAGGCTTCTAATGTACACCTCACACATGAGACGATCTTAAGTGTGCACCTTGGATGCTTTTGAAAACACTGGTTCTGCTAGTGCAAGGTGTTTCTCAATGAACTCCTTGTGTCCTGGTCCATTTTTGCCGGTCAACATCTGGTTGATGTCTTGTTACATTAGTTTGCCAAATGCTTGGCATCTAATTTTACCATTGCGGAGATTTTTAAACTGAATTTGCTAATTGGGCAAGACCTTGCTTTGATGAAATAGCTTTTCATCTTTCACAGGTTCTGTCTTTTTTGAATGACGTCTTTGATACTCTTCTGAAGGCACTTTCAGATCCTTCTGATGAGGTACCTTGTTCTACTGCCTTTGTTCGCAATGCTATTTTTCAAATTTGTGTTTGCATTCTCAAAATCTGCAGAGATATCATAATATCTTTTTATAGAATTAAGTTTCTGTGTTTTGTTTTTGCATGTGTTTGTGCTATATTTATATATACTGTGAACTGGGTATTGTGTATGTTAAAGGTTTGGATAATTCTAAACTCTGCTGCACTTGATTGATGTTAAGTTAGAAATTAAGATGAATCCAATGTCTCTTCTAGTGGATTTGACTCTATAATTGCTCCAGGTGGTACAGTTGTTCTTCTACTTATTTCATGTGGAGAATGAGTGCTAGGGGAACCCATGTACCCTGAACTTCCCACTTTGAAAGAGGACGGGGGAAGGAGATAAAAGAAAAGAGATCTGACTAGTACTTTGTGACCTTGAAATCTTACTATTGAGGACATACCCAATTTCGTAAATGTAATCTTCTGCGTCCAGAGTAGCATACTCAATAATTTCCCTTCCCTTTCCTGACAAACATAAAAAAGGAGGTCCCAAAAGCCTTCTCAATTTCTGCAAGACAATATAATAAATGAAATAAATGATATTTATTTCCCATCTGCAGTTAAAACCATAGCTGATACCTTCTCTTCTGCAAGCTATAGAGTTGTTACAACAACCCCCCAAGGCTGCTGTCTAAGCAAGAAATGCAAGATCATTTGTTATCTGGCTGGCCTTGGAAAATTAGAATTTGTTCTTCCAACTAATCTCTCATGAAAGGATTTTACTCTGGAGATTTCATACTTGACACCTCCAACACACTTGGTGACTTGTGTGTTCATTTTTAGTAATATTTTTTCAAAAGATTTCCAACAATTTAACTTCAGACGGCTCACATTTCACTTCACATTAGAATGAAATGGTCTACTGACATCAGATACACTAAGACAATGATAAGGAAGTGCAATATAAGTTGATTACTTTTGAAGCTCGATTTCGCTGGGTACAATATTTTCGTCTAGAATGTTGAGTGAATTCTTCTTGATAGTTTACTGAGATATCATTCTTTCCTGCTGTTTGTCCTAAACTACCATGTTTTGTTTGAGGGACAAAATATTGGATGTATCTAAAATGGAAGAATTTTTCCTTTCACGACTTCATAGAAAGAAATTAATCCCTTTTCTGGTAGGGAAAGACAAAAAGTGGAAGAGAATGAAAATTTAATGTTTAGGATCAGTGGTATTTTCCATTGATCCCATTTTCAATTCCCTCTTGTTTGCCCTCGTTCTGAATCTTTCTACTTTCAACCATATCAAACATAACTATTTCAGGGCTCATATTTCAAATATGTTGATGTTTACAGTATTTTACATCTAATTGGTGTTTCCCTTTAGTTTAGGGACTCATAGACAAACTCTAGTAGTTAAGAATCTACCATAATTTGAAAAGACTTCAGTGCCACATCTTATGATTTATGAATGAGTTTAATAGGATATGTGTATACTTACAATCCTTTTAAACATCGTACCCTCATGCACTTTTTCATTGACTAATGTGGTCATATGCTCGGTTCTTGGGAAAGGGTCTCACAACAGCGTAGATATTATAAATTTTTTCCTTCTCGCTCTTCTTTTCTTCTCAGGTAGTTCTTCTAGTACTTGAGGTGCATGCATGCATAGCCAAAGACGACAAGCACTTTGTCCAGCTCCTTGTATTTTTAGTTCAAAATTTTCGAGTCGACAACTCTCTTCTGGAGAAGTAAGCTTTGTAGTTCTGACTTATCTCGTCATGATTTTTATCTGATATAGTTATATAGTGGATTAAATCCCATTCTTATTTCTCTTGCAGACGTGGTGCTCTGATAATTCGCCGACTGTGTGTACTATTAGATGCTGAAACAGTTTACCGAAAGCTATCTACAATTCTTGAAGGAGAATCTGATTTGGATTTTGCGTCTATTATGGTTCAGGTCGTTACATAGTACCTAATCCAATAAAAGGAATGCTAGTGTGTTATACTTTTTATAACTGCATTATATAGATTAGTATCTTTCTTAGTATCAGTTATCAACTTATCAATAATCATTTATACCATTTTTTGTAGGAAGCACTCGTACGTTCTTGTATTTAATGACTCATTTTTGCACATTCATTTCTTATCAGGCTTTGAACTTGATTTTGCTCACTTCATCTGAGTTGTCTGGCCTTCGTGACCTCCTCAAACAATCCCTGTCTAATGATGCTGGGAAAAAATTATTTCTTGCTTTATATGCCTCATGGTGCCATTCTGCAATGGCTATAATAAGCCTTTGCTTATTAGCTCAGGTAAGAACCTTGTGCTTGAAGGCTTCCCATTCCTATCTCTGTCCCTTGTCAATTGTCATGTGTAATAATAAGACTCGGGATTTGCCACCCTTTGTTGATTTTTCCTTCCAGACTTACCAGCATGCAAGTTCCGTCATTCAATCTATGGTTGAGGAGGATATCAATGTTAAGTTTTTAGTCCAGTTGGATAAATTGATTCACCTTCTAGAGACTCCTACATTTGCTTACCTTAGGCTACAGGTAATAGTAGTTTTTGAATAGCACGTGGTTGTTGATTAGTCTGCTAGATTTATTCATGTGCTGATGCTTTACAATATGTTTTTACCTAGTGTGTACAAATACTAGATTGATTATGAATACTTACTGACATCTGTACATTAGACAGGATTGAAGTTCCTTTATTAATGTTTAGTTTCTATCTAAGTTGTTCACCATCCTGCTGAGACTGAGTTATAAAAACTTAAATAGTTAACAGTAGGGTATGGTCTATATATTTTAAAGTGGATTAATTTTATTCTAAACAAATATGTAAGAGGTGGTTGTGAAATTATATTCGGTAGTGCACAAATCTATTGAGTACAGAATAATGTTCACGAGATGGAATCCAGAGGGAGACAATTTAGAAAGTTCAATCTTACCTAAGTTATTAGGCTAGCCTAGTTTACGAAATTGAATTTGTTTGAAAATAATTGAAACTAAAGATCAATAAGGAAATTAACGCTAGAAAATTGAAATCAGAATTTAAATTATTGAGTAATTCCCAAAATTGGATTGAGAACTCGAAATCAATCTATTGTCATCTCGTATATCTAACAATTTTTTTTTTTTTTGAAAGGTAATCAAATATTATATTAATCAAAGTTTAATACACAGGAAGTGTATCATCAATACAAATCAGAAAGGAAAATCATGAAATTAGGCAACCCATCTATATGCCTAGTAGCCGCAGCAATAAACTAAATATACAATGCCAAATAAAATAACTCCCTAAACTGCCCTGTTGTCCGTGTTTGGTATTCAAAAAAGCGTCAGTTTCTTTCTCTCCACATACACCACACAATGCATCTCGGAATAAGGTCCCAAACAAGTTTGCTTTCCTTATCTCGAAACTTTCTCCTCCATGTCTTTAACATGTCCTCCATACGCCTCGGCATCACCAAATCCATATGTTGCGATACCAAAATATTGTTCCACAACAAACGAGCAGCATCACAATGAAGAAATAAGTGATCAATCGTCTCCCCATCTCTTCTACACATAACACCACTCTGTATCATAAAAACCCCTTATACGAAGGTTATCCACCGTTAATACCCGTCCTCTGACCACCGACTGTTGGTGTGGAGATCAATCGCTTAAGGTGAGATTTCCTTCTTTGTATCGTATTGCGTTGGAGCCGTCTTTCATGGTGAATGATGCATTAGATATTCATAATGGGAGCTCCAGTTGGAACATTGTTTTTGGCCGGGGTCTGCAGGACTGGGAACTGGATGATTGTGCGTTGTTTCTGACATATTTATACGAGGTATATATCAGGGCAGGAGAGGATGATAGTAACAGGTGGAGATTGACACGAGATGGTATTTTTTCAGTGCGCACCTATTTTAGATCTCTATCGGGAGTTGAAGAGAGTTCATTCCCTTGGAAGATGGTATGGAATTGTAAACTGCCCCCAGGAGTGGCATCCCAAAAGCTGATTGTATTACCATTCCCCATAACAAATGTCAACCTATCCCTAAAGTCGTTCCACCTTCGCCGAATATGCCGCGAACTCACCCCATAAGGACCACGTCTCTCACTTGAGCACCATCCCCCTCCATAACACCATATTTTGCCCCTATATTAATTCTCCAAAATCTCTTCCTCTCCACTCTAAATCGCTACAACCACTTACCCAATAAGGCCTTATTAAACAGTACAAGATTTCTCAATCTGAGACCGCCGAATCTAATAGGAGAACAAAATCTTTTCCCAACTTCATTAAGCCCCCTCACATCCCCTTAATAGATTCCGAACACCTAATGTTTTCCCAACTTCATTAAGCCGCCTCACATTCCAACTAATTATTTTTGGAGTCATCTAAACACCTCATTATCCCTCCCCATATGACCTCTCCTTGACTCTCCACCCTTGAGATTACCTCCTGATGTACCCAGCCCATGTCCCCTATTGACCTCCAGGTCCTCGAATAATTGTGCAAGCCTAGGTTCTTGCTCATCACATGACAAACCTACCATTTTGCTGAACTCCAAAATTTTTTGAAGGACCCAACTCGATGGTCGAGGTCTATCGTCAGATCATCTAATCTTCGCCATACCCTCAACATACATGGGATCAAAGTAGTTTCCCTTCTCGTCCTCCACTCGAACCACATCACCGCATGTATCCCCTTTCTCGACTCCTCCAACCCACACCACCAAGCATTATTATTCCCTGGATCCCTTTCCTTTGGAGACTTAGAAAATCTCCTACAATAGGTATTCACCACCCTAGTTGTTGAGTCTATCTGCCCTTGCTGTTTCTCAGTAATCAAACTTGAGCTATCACCCACCACAGTTCCGTTTTCGTGCTCACTATCCAACAATGATCCCTTTACAGAGGGAATCATGTCCAGTCCACCCTCATTTGTAGGACAATTGATTGCTTCCAACAACTCCGAGTTCAGAATCGTAGTACCTGACTCCCCTACCTCGCCCCAAGGTTCCGTCTCTCGAGACGCCTTGATCATTGAATCCCTGACATCCTTATCTGTTTCCTCCGTCTCGACCTTACTTCCATCATCGAAAGAATTTACCACTACAGTTTACGTCTGAAATTCGTCTGGAACACCTATGACAATAAGTGTTCCTTGGGCCCACTATAGACCCTTTTCCCACCACCTTGATCAAGTCATCCAATTTCCTTTTCAACGCCTGAATGCGAGCCCGCAATTTCGCATTAGGGTCAATGCCCTCATTCTCCGCCCTTTCCTTACACAACAATTCCCCCTGATCAGCCTTTTTCGGTGTCCAAACGTTCGCCATCACATCGGCATTAGTCACCCCTGATCGCCTCTTGTCATCAGCTATTCGACGTTTTGCCGTATCTCTGGAAACGAGTGAATCAACAACTACTCGAAACACGCATGATATCGATGCCCATCCTTCTCTATTTGCACTTTCCGGCACCATCACAACTCCTTTTCGACGCCTCTCCCCGTACTGAGCTATCATAAAAAACCTACCACGCTTGTTAGCACAACATTGTGCTAAGCAAGCTCGAGAGGACTCATTAAACTTGGTGACGAAGTCCTCCATTCTATCGGCCATCCTCAACTTGTCCATCATATTCAGCATCCAGACGGCACCATATCGACCTATGCAAATTGCGCCCGATATCTTCGATCCCCATTCTGATAGCTTAGTAAACCCTAATTCCGTAACAGACATAACGAACTCTTTTGCCTCAACTCGAAATCGTGAATTGAAGACCTTGATACCCTCCGTGTAAGTCTGTTTCCCACTATTTTGAGCAAATGAAGTAGTGGATGATGAAACCAATGCTCGAAATGGCCTCGAAGCAGCATGGTGGATCTGGGCAGACCTCAGAGGCGGCGCGTGTGCCCCACGCCCCGGCAGGTCAGCGCAATCGCTGGGCGCTTGACCTGCTGGACTCGGAATGGCCTGCACAGGCCCTCGGACCGGCGCGTTTGGCGGAAATAATTGGTTGCCTATTTCTTTCCAACTCCTAAGGCTAACTAACACCTTCATTGTGCTGGCCGTTCTCCCTTTTTGTTTTCCTCTTTTTTAACACCAACCAAACTCACTGCATACCTTATTTTTCTTTATAGCAATGTGGTTTTATTTCCTTTTTTAGTGCTTCCATCTTGTTGCTGCCTCAATGTTAACCACGCCTGGATGAATAACCTTTTTTTTTCCTTGTGTTGAATACAGGTCCACTTTGTAATATTTGAGTCCAAGTTTGCTCCAAACCTTTAGATTCCTTCTTTTGTTCTTCCCTTTGTAATTAGTCTCCTCACTTTATTGCTTGTCCTGGTCCAAAATAAAACATGGTAAGTAGCTAATTAAAATCAATATGATAACTTGAAAAATACGATTAATGCCTAATTATGTATTAAAAATTTGTTTATCAAGGGTTGGTCTATGCATTTTCAATCTTTTCCTAAGATTGACATATGGAGAAATCTCTTACACGCAATATTTTATGACCTCTTTTTCACTGTGATACATGCTTTGGATGAATAAACTAAAACCTTTTCGCAAATAAGATGGTCAGTTCGTATATTTGGTTTGAACTAGTTTTTCTCGTGCAAGCTTGTGAATTGTGATAATTGTGAACTGTCTTGTCTAAGAAAGCTATGCGCAAACTCAAATTGCTGGAGAGGAACTCAAGGATGCAACTGAGAAAACACTATCCAGTAAATGTATTTGTTATACCTTACATGTGAACTTATCTATGGAACCATAACTGCTAATTTGTCAATCGGTGTACAGCAAGGACAAATCACAAGAACTATCGGACAACATTGTGCTGTTGTAATGCCAATAAGTTTGCAAAACTTAGGATGTGCTAAGATTTGCTACAATTAAATGATGTCTATCCTATTAGTTTTGAGGTGGTTATGATGGAAATCCTATTGCGACAGAACAAGACAAATACTAAACCTGGTCTTCTAGTGGTTAACTATGTTTAGTTATGAAGAAGTGAGAAATTTTTGTTCTCCTTGGTGTGAGTTGCATGGTTGGGGTCGAACTCTTGTCTGAGCCTGTTTCCTCTTCACATTTTCAGATTTCATATGTTACTTGACCATTGCCGAATGGTGCCCTCTGATTTACTCCCTCACTGTGATTGAATATCTTGGAAGGTGATTTACACATTGAGAAAGCTGTATATATGATTAGTGAAGAAAAGTGGCATTCTTCTCATAGATCTTTAATATGTTTGTTGGAGATGGTTCCTTTCACTGGTAGAGCCTTAGGATTTAATTATATGGTGTGGTTTTCATGGTTTTTGGTTGTATTGCTTGATGGTGTTATATATTTTTTAGTATCTTTTAGTTTTCTACAAAATTATTTTTTATTGTGCCATATGGAGTCTAATAAATTGTTCTCTTGTAGCTCCTCGAACCAGGAAGATATATATGGTTGTTGAAAGCCTTGTATGGTCTCCTGATGCTCCTTCCCCAGGTATGTGTTTGCTTATTTTCAAATTTGATGTGCATGGAAACATCAGCATGCTCTGTATCACCTTGAGACTAAAGCTTTCAAACAAAAGTTTTATGCTTTAATTATTTTTTGTTTCATGTAATGTGAAATTGGAACCCACCAGAAGTTAGTCTTCCTTTACAACGTCATTGGCTTTTCAAATAATTGTAATCCAAGTTTTTTTGATTCAGTGCATAAGTGAAGCAACACTATATTAATGTTTATATGCAATTCACTTTCCAAGTCTAAATTATAGTTAATTCACCCAATCGATTTGACATGTGCTTTGAATTTTTCTTTGCATAAATAGTTAGCTCATGATGGCGCATAGTTTAAGTTAATTGATCAACCAATTGAAGTTGAGATTATATGAATCGTTTTCTGGTTTTGGCGGAAAAGGTTCGGGCCTTCACTTGACAATGTTTAAGTACTGTTCCCTTGCCTACATTTTGTGCCATTCATTGCTTAGATAATGGGAAATTATCTTTGAAGCATTTGGCACGTTGTATACTTTTTTGTTACAACGTTCTTTTGATGCTTAAGCTAATAATACACTGCGTTAAATTGGATGCCATAAACAAAGCAATCTTTGAATTTTCTGATTCTTTTAACTTGATGGCTTTATAATTTGTTTTCTGAGTGAATGTATGTTATGTTTAAGATTGTTTTTATATTTAATGTTCATAGCAAACAGGATTCATATGCATTGTTTGGTACTGTTAGTTTCTTTTGCTATTGATTCAGCAAAGTAGAGCCTTCTATGTTGTCTGGACTTGATTAAAAACTGTTCCTTCCTGATTTTTTTATCTTTTATGCTCATAGCAACATGATATGCATGGTTTGCTGCTGTTGGAACTGTTAGTTTCTTTTCCATTTGATGCAGCAAAGTGTAGCCTTCAAGATTCTTCGGACTCGATTAAAAACTGTGCCTTCCTTCAGTGGTGAACAGTTCAATCAAATATCGTCAGGAAACTCGTTTTTGGATGCTAATTACATAGTTGGAGGTGGTGACCTAAATGAAGCTTCAAGGAGTATTCACAATGGAATAAACTTTGCTTCGAGCCTGCAGAAGTTTGAGCACATTCAGCAACAGCACCGTAGGCATTCGAAGATGCAGGCACAGTATCGCAACAGTTCTACTTCATCCACAAAGGTCTGTTGTACTTGATGTGTAGTTATTATATTGTTGTCAATTGTCATTTGGGACCTTCAATCTGTTACTATTTTTGTTCGAATTAGGTTTTCAAACTAATCCAAATTAAGGAAGAAATAGACGGGAGAGATAGGTACTTAAGATTTAGGTGATTTTAGGCTGTTGAGGATAACCGATTGACGGTTTTTAAATACTATTTGACATTTTGTTTCCTTTTGTCGCTCCTGTAGATGTTTACTTACCAAAAAGATCTTTATCCAACTAGTTGATATACGTATTACAAATTTTCACATTAGATTCTGTTCAATGTGTAATCTCTTCATGGGTTTTCAGGATGTACAAAGACTAGAATCAAAGGGGTCTTTGACCGTGCCAGACATGAATAGGCCTCCTTCAAGATCGTTGCGCAGAGGTCCTGGCCAGTTGCAACTTTAACTGTCTCGAGGTTATTTATGCAGCATCTCTATGTATTGAAGGCAGGTGACTGGTGAAGACAGTAAAAAATTGTAAATTGTATTTTTTAGGAGCTTTTGTTTTGTGGAATCTTGAAGGGGGGTTGAGAAGGTGGGCAGTGGGTCTGGTTGTTTCTAAGCTATACTTTCTGATAGACAGAATATACCCACGTGGTTGTGTTATTTTTATTGAAAACCATGTGGGAAAAAGAGGTAGTTGAAATTCCAATCTAGGATATATGTTGACTTTGTTTCCATCATTTATTCTAAATCATAATCTCTCTTTTACAATTATTGAAAATAAATATCACATATTCTCTATAGTGCTACCTATTGACTTACATTTTTAATTCTCCATCTCGAGATGTCTAACAGCTTAGTCGAACAAATGAAGTCCATCATGGGTGATTTTTTGTCAATTTCTAATTCTTCCTCTCGACTTTAGGCCCGTCTAAGGTGAGACCCTTCATTCAGATTGATGGATAAACTAATGAACTCGAATATTAATAAATATTATTAGAATAGTTATTTAATGCCGTGTACTGTTACATAGATGGAATTGTGCTATATTGGAAACATAACCAAAGGTCCGAGTGCATACATGATTAACAAAATTATTAAACAAAGATGCATGCAAAAAGTGAAAACAAAGTTTCACACTCCAAATGCAGAATTATCTTGCATATATATTGATTTATAACTTTATATTCATCGCCAATCAACGATCAGAACATATAATGAAGATTGTGCACCTTAGATATACATATATTGATTCTCATAACAGAAGATTGTGCACCTTAGATATACATAATATACTGCGTGGAAGGAGGTGTAATGAACAAAAGCCATGAAGTTTAAAAAGTCCATACATAATAGATCCATGACAAACAGTGGGATAGTTGCACTTAAAATTTCACAGGGCGTAAATTTTCTCATCAGAGTTGTAGTCATCCAAATCAGAAATATTTGCAGAATATGACCACGAGAAAGATTTGCTTCCACTTGCACGTTTGATGCGCCTCTGCGAATCGCTACCAAAAGTTCCAAAATGTTGTCGGAAGACAAAGTAGCATAAACTAATCAGAGTCCCGACTAGAATAGGTGCACCCAACACAGTTATAGTGATAGCCATCCACGAGCTTTTCTTCCCCACGACCACAAATGCTATTGCTAAGAATGCCCCACACGTGCTAATGCACGCAGCCCACATTAGTTTGTTCACAACTGAGACAACTTGTTTCTGAGCTCTTGTGTCCCAGGCAACAAGGGTAATCTGAACGACGACAACAGCTAGAGAAATGAACAAGGCCGTGGAATCAAGAAGGCAGAAAACTCGAAATGCTATAGTTTTGGAAATAAGGGCTTTCCCTGCTTCTGGTCCCTCTGTCACGTATAGACCGGGCAAGTTGAATATAGCAAGGAATGCTATGGAAGCAAAAAGAACGGCAACCACTGTCACAGAATTTGTGGTATTTTGGACTGCTTCTCTATGAATTTTCTTTAGCTCTTTGGCAATACCAGAAACTCGTCTCTGGGTTTTCTCATTCTGTATGAGTTGGGAGTGCACTTCATGCTTAATATCACTTACAGTTCTTTTGAGTTCCGTTGCTTCATCAACTTGGCCAACATGCCTGGCATACTTGGCACCAGCCTCTACTAGAGCTTCCTTGATTTCCAAAGCTGATGCTCCATATTGGAGTTTGTCGGCTATGTCCATTGCAGTTTCACGTTGATTATTTATGACATTAACATCAATAGATCTGAACGTCAGCAAAAGGCTAACAATCTGAAATGCAGATGCGGTTCATTAGAGTGCTGAAAACTCAAAAGGTAAGGGACTAGAAGTAGATATCATGATATGCATTTCATATCATAAACTAATATAATAGTCAATTATGTTATCAATCATTTCCTTCATAGACCCAATTCTATTATGTTTTCGTGTCTCTTTCACATTGATTTAGTCTGTCTTCATCTACGCAAAATCTTCTAGCGTGGTTAAATTAATTAAAGTAAATAATATGCATCCCTAGATGGCAAACCATTTGATGAAGCTAACTAACCCAATAATAAGAAAGAAAAATTCAAAATAACATGTTCACAAAATCACGCAGCAGAACAAATGCAAACAATGAACATGCTTAAAAACATGTCGATTCTCAGAATACTGTGAATTTTAGAAAATCAACATCTTGTTGATTCTAGAAGAACGTCAAGCACTGATTTTGATAAACAAATTCGTTGGTTCACTAAGAATACCAAATTATTAACATGAAACTGAGAGAAAAATGTCAAGATATTTTATTTAAACAAAACCGACTCCAAAACCAACATAGTTGCGGCTGTTCAATAAAAATCTAATGCACATCCAATACAATTGCAACCTAAGTCTCTAAACTCCTAACAAACTATAAACTGAACTCTAAATAATGAAAATAACAACATTAATTATATTAAAACCCAGAAAATAAAAAATGAAGAGGAAAAAAACCATCACCTTCCGTGTCCACATTTGGATTACATCACAATGTTACAACTTTAACTGGATAATATTTGTGCATACTATAAAATCATATAGCTTCTAAATTATTATTCCTATGTGGCATTTCCTAAACTCTTTACTTATTTGATTTTAGATCCACTGCCTCTCGCAGGGGAACAAGAACTATAGACTCACTGAAGTGGAGAAGCTCCTGGTTTTTTGTTCCTTATGTAAGACTCATGATGCTGCTTGATTTCATTCTTATTTGCATTACAAGTTCAAAAATGACCATTAAATATGTTGACCAATGGATAGGAGATGTTAGGCTGAAATACCTTCACTAATTTTACCATAGCAAATCTAGAACTTGAAAATCTAATTTCCCCCTAACCTCTGAACTTATATCTTCCTTGCATTGTGATAAATATTATCTCTGCAGTAATAGAACTATAGAAGGACCTTATATTAAACTTGTTCTGACTCCCGTGCAATGAACTATTACTAAGACATTTCTTGGTGGTATAAAATTAAGGAAGAAGGAAAAGGTTTAGATCTTGTTTGGCACATATTTTTTCAAGGTAAAAAAATGATTTTCTTTTCTAAGAATTTATGGTTAAAAAGTGTGGAAAGGTTGTGAGTCATGTAGAATGCATGGTTGAAAATAGTTTTGGGAAAAAAGAATTTTTGAAAAATCTTTGACAAACAAGCCTTTAGTATCCTGAAGGTCAGCTGTATGGAATTGCTGGACAATGATTTCCTCTATTTTCAAGAATTAGAGGATAATGTCAGACGTGAATTGGGGGCGAAGGACTATTTACATGAAATACAATGAAAATAAATATAACAATTCGAACAGTGGAATAAATGAAACAAAACCCCAAAGAATTAGGGGCTGTTATCTTTGTGTTTCAATTTTGTGTTCTGAGTTTTGAATTCATTTTGGGTTTTGTGTTTTGAGTGTTCATTTTGAGATTGTTGAAAATGTGTTCTTTTTGGTATTTTGAAAAATTGTTTTGAAAACACCCAAGAGGCCAAGACGCTTTTTGAAAATTTTGGTTTGATTATAACTGAAAACACTTTGTAAATTTTTAACTCGTTTTCAAAAACGCGTTTTCGAAAATAGGAAAGAGTACGCGTTTTCACTATTTTGAAAAATCGAAAATAGAAAACGACTTGAAAATGGTAAAGAGAACAGACCCTTAGGTTTTCTGCACTAAAAAGATATTAATTAATCAGTACCTGAGGACGATTTTTCCGTGTGGCTATATGCGCAGCTGTATTACCCTTCTTGTCACGTTCATTTAATATTGAGTGATCAGATTCCAGCAATTCCTCTACTACAGAAGTATCCTGACCTTTCACAGCCATATGCAACGCAGTTTGGCCCTTCTTATCTTTGATGGAGATAATTCCTGGATCCCTTTCAATAAGTGCTTTTACAATATGTAAGAGGCCATATCTTGCAGTTGTGTGCAATGCAGTTTTCCCATTCTTCCTTACAATTCTTATTGAGCTCACATCAGTGTCTAATATGGCATTTACAACATCCAGATGACCCTGCACAGAAGCTGAATATAAAGGGCTTGTGTTTGATGAGTTGCATATTTTACAGAGTTCAGGCCATCTCCCAAGAAGTTCCTTCACAATTTCTGAATACACGAGAAGTCAAGATTATCGGTTAAGTGTCAACTCTCCAAGTATGTTCAAGCACAACAAATCACAAGCAAATTAAAATTTATAACTTACAGGAATATAGTGCCTGAAAGGCAGAAAAAAAAATCATAAATTTCTAGATCCAGTAACCGCAAGCATGCTACTCTCATATTAAACTCATATCATTTTATTCATTGTCAACAAAGTCAATAAACGCTACCCCTTTTAAAATAAAGAATCTTATTCAGCACATGATTATCTATGTTTACGGCTGCATTAGGATTTATAAACCAATAGCTCATAATCAGAAACATAACAGGTAAACAAATTTCTATTCCATAAAGGTAAAAATAATAAATTTTATGAAATGAGAAGGCAGAATAATTCTAGTTGAGTGCTTGTTTGATAAAGATTTTCTGAGAAGTGATTCTTTGAAAAGTGTTCTTTTTGTTTGAGAATGTGTGGTTAAAAGTAGGGAAAGGTCGAAACGTGAAAAATGATTTTATTTTTTTTGGAGAATTTGTTGTTAAAAATGAGTATGGGAGAGAAGTGATTCTCAAAGAAATAAAATACACCAAGGGCTAAGTGTTTAGAAGATTCAAGAATAATGTCACTGATTGAATTTAAAATAAAATTTCTATTTCATTCCCCATATCCCCATATCAGCAAAAAGCCAGTTTCCCTCGGTCTAAAACCAAATAAATAATTAAGTTCCATCATCATGTAGAAACTCTTGACGAAATTACTCTAGATTACAATCAGATTTGGTGTATTCAAGTGTTTCTTTTTTTGACAAAATTGCCCTGCCATCCCATCAAGACTTGCCCCGAAAAGCCCTCTTCATCAATATTTGCAAACTTCAAACTGAGACTGTCATTCTTAATCAATCAGTCCTAACCAACTGCAGTATCGTATGTTTGAAGTGTTGTTAATAATACGCCTTTTTTCCTGCACAAAAACACAAAAATGTACATTTTTGTGCAGTTATGGGAGTATTTGCAGCTCCTGCTTTGAACTGTCAGCTAAACAAAGTTCTATATTTCAGTAACAACTATCCCAATCGGATCCAGACTCATTCCAAAAATTCCTTTTTATTTTCAGAAGATAAATGCTATGCCATCGCATTTTCCCACCAAGTAACATGTTTTCTCTCAAGTTATTCCATTTCTCTATTACTTAAAATCACCTAACAGCCAAAAATTATCATTATGAAAATATTAGCCGCGAAATCTCACCTCTCAATTAGTATACTTGAATTGTGTCATACATACTTAGGTCCACAGTTCAATCAAGATTTCTAATTTCAACCCACCACATCATTCAACCAATTCTACATGAAATTGAAACTCAAACTGAAAAAAAAAACACACAAATTGAATAAAGATTGCAAAATTAAGGAGAACAAGAAGTCAATAGAGTGATATAAATTATCATACAGACAAACACACACAGATTTATATTTAACAGCTAATCTAATCATAAGATTTTAAAGGGAAAACAGCCATACGCAGGTGGCCGCATGATGCGGCAACGTGGAAAGCATTCATATCTGATTTGGCTCTGATCATAACAATCTGCAGATCACAAAAGCCAAGCAAATATCTGAAAATTTCAATGAAATTATTCTTCGCGGCTATGTATAAAGCAGTCTCCTTTTCATCATTCTGAATGGCCATTAAAGAAGATGGGTCAGACCCTTCATTCTGGATAAGGTTCTTGAGGGACTCAAGGTCCCCAGATCGCACGGCAAAGAAGAATGATTGGTGGATTATGAATCTTAAAGACTTCGAGTCCATGTACTGTACTGGGTTGATCAATTAACTGATGAAACACACACACACACACACACACACAATAACACAGAACTTAAAGATTCGATCTTTCCAAGTTATTTTCTCCGTTTCCTCACAGTTTATAGTTGTCCCTGTTGTTTCTTGACAACTTTCTTTCAAGGGAGGAGGAATTGGCTGAAGGGTAGGAGCTTGAAAAGGTGAAGTCTTTACTGATTATTAAGAGAGAGAGTATGTGTCAATGTGTGAATGATTACGCAATTCAATAAATTCAAGGATGCGAAGACCCTACGTGTTAAAGATTTGAGGTCTGAGAAGGATTCATCGTGTGTATTATTAGTATATTGGCGCAAAACGTCCTGACCTGTTGGGTCATTGTGCAAATTATCCCTCATGTTCTAAAACTGCACAAATTATCCCTAATGTTCTAAAACTTAAGTGTGCAAGTCATACTTTTTGACACTTCCCGTCTAATTTGCTGTTAATTATGTACGTAATAGTCACATACATAACCATTTTGGCGCAAATGGTCACTAACCTATTGAATTTCTGCACAAGTGATCCTTAACCTTCAAATCATGCCGTAAATATCCCCAACCTTACACTTAATAGGTGCAATTGGTTTTTATATAATTTTCACTTTTTTAATTAACTATTAAACAGGTCAACTTTTAATATGAAGACTAAAATGAACTTTAATATAGTTAAACAAATAAAATAAAATAAGTAAAAAAAGAAACTAATCGTACCAACTAATTATCCCCTATAAAGAGCATCTGAAATGCAACCACGATAATGAACAACAAAAGTTGAGATGGGGATCTCATGCACTAAATCTTTGGTGTACTCCATGTCAATGAGAATGTTGAAAGATCGAGTGTCACGATCTGTAACTTAGCATGATGCTAATGTCTATGACCATTGAGAATGAGGGGAGATCTAGATTTGACATAAATATAATAGTTGACTATAATTAGTATTTATTATATCACGGGGAGTCAGTTACAGTATTTTTTATTCATTCATGCAATTAAAGATATCATCTGATTTCTATTTTAGTATTTCGTCAAACTTCATCAAAAAGACGCATATGAACACACAAACATATATTAACCATTATCATGTCCAACTAAGCTTAAAAGAATACTCGAAAGAAAAATACTTTCACGTAGTAAAACTCCACTATTCAATACTACTGGTGCTACATAAACATAAGAAATGAGACAATTATATTACATTTTTTTTGTAGTGCGTTCGGATTATTTTAGTCGCGATCTTGTGTTGAAGTCACGTGAAGACAATATTTATTATTATTTGTTCTTAGGATCATTATATTCGTTTATGACATAGTTTTTAATTGGTGAGACTAAAAATTATTTTGTATCAAAGAATCTTTTTACATAGAGCTTGTTTGGTACAGATTCTATCTTGCTTCACATTTAGGGTATGTTTGGTAAAAATTCTCATTTTCAACAGTAAATCAATTCTCATTTTCAACCACACATTCTTCAATAAAATAATATTTTCTATCACATCAATAATCTTATCTTCTTTTTCAACCACATATTTCCCATCATATCACTATTCAAAAATCAATTTTTCCCCCAAAAATCCCTACCAAACACACCCATAATAAATTATGAATGAAGCTGAATCATCGCAACTTGCACTTGAATACTAGTTTCTAAAAAATCTTTCTATTATGGAAGTATGTTTATAGGAAGTCATATTGTACCAATTTCTTCTAAAAGTTTTCTGATTAGAAGAAACACTTTTATTTGAATCTCATAAATTCATTGACTTCTCAAGGTCATGCTAAATGAATCCTTGTTATTGGAAGATGCAAAATTGTAAAACTCTTGAGACTATCTATATTCTAAAATGTTACTATCATGAAAATGAAGGGGCTTGGTGGGACGACTTCCAATGTAGAATAGGTGTTCCAGAAAATTCCGTAAGCGTACGTGATCATTTACAAGTAATACGTAGTGAATATAAGTATCATCTCACGAGGGATAAAATTCAATTGTAGTGTATTAATTATTATCAAACTCGATCAATTGTTACACACAAGATATTTGTTTTGGTATTATTCTAATTTAAACTATGAAAGCTTTAAATGATTAGTTTTATCCAATAAATTTCTACTTCAATTCCCGACTGATGTAACTTAGCCCCTATTTGGTAAAAATTAAAATCAAGATTTTAATTTTAGTGAAAATCAACAATTAATTTTAACTATACATTTCATGTGATCAACAATTATTCATCTATTCACCCACTCTAGGATATTTTATGACTGAACTAGTAACTTTCAAGAATATTTCCCAAGTATAAGAAACATGAAGTTGTCCGTGTCTATATGCTTTGCTTAAATAAAGTGCAGTTTGTTAGAGGAATCTTGCACTATTTAGAACCTCTTTGATCTGAATTTTTTTCTCCAAAAGATCAGTTTTTTGGCAGAAAAGACATTGTAATCAAAGAGATTTCTTCAAAAACTTTAACATAAAGGGAATTGGAAAGCAATTCGACATTAATGTTGTTGTAGACAATAATGGCAACTTGGATTTTACTCCTTTCTATTCCATTAGTAAAGTTGATCTACATGCCGAATTTGTTGGATTTGATTAGTTGGTTTGATCAACTTTTGACCAATTATTTTAGTAGGTCCTGTTAGTTGGACAAAATATTTCTTTGACCGAATGTGTTCAAAACCAATTTAAGGTGAATGAGAAATTAAGGTCNAGGTGAAGGAGACATTAAGGCCAAAAGATGACCACTTGAAGTTGAACTAAATTGGAATAAAAATTGGTGGGAAGGAGACAAGTTCGCAAAAACGAACTTATGATACTGCAATTGGTAATCATAAAAGTGATGAAGAACCAAGACAAAGCAAAATGACCAAAACATCTACATCTTTTGGTACATATTTTTTAACTTCTTTGTTAGAAAATGAACCTAGGACATCCAGAAGCTTCATTCTGGAAAGAGACTATCAATAGTGAAATTGATTTTATTATGCAGAATCATATTTGAGAGTTGGTAGATTTCCCATCTAGTAACAAACCATTAGGTTGTAAATGAATTTTCAAAAGACAATTAAAGACTAATGGATCAGTTGATAAATATAAGG